TTAGTCCAGCGTTTGGACATTGCGAGCGCGGGCTGCCGGTATCTGCTGCGGAGGGTTTTAGGAATGCCACACCAGCCAATAGGGAGTATTGTGCAGTGTTGTGTGGAGGGTTATAATGGAAGTGGAGAGAGAACGAGGTCATTGTTCTAACCCTAACTCTGGGGACACTGAGACTCTTTTATGGGGTCACTAAGGCCGTGTTGTAGGGACAGTAGGGGGTATGCTGCTGGGACACAGAGCCCAGTGTGCCCGTGAAGCTGCTCTGTGCCAGGGCAGCCTTAGCTCCTGCAGCTGGACCGTTAGCCTCCCTCTCTCCCTACTTGTCCGGCAATCCTGTCTCTCCAACATGGCTGCTCCCTGATCAGTCCCCAACCACTGTTAGTCAGTCCATCCTCACTTTTACAAAAATATATTTTACTATTGGACAAACTTAAGAGTTTCTTAAGTGCACATCGGGACATGCCCCAGGGTTGGGTTAATATCCAACTGCCTGTTGTCCTTTCAACAACCTGTAAGAGCAAATATATTTTTAGAGATGTGTAAATGCCTGTAAATTAATAAAAAGCTGGGCATAACATATGATGCTAAATGATGCTAAAGTACACAGACTTGTTGACATTTAAGGTCTTCTTGTATGACTTTCCCTTATAATATTGCTAAGAATCTCAATAACTGTCAACTCTCAGCTCTAGCTCAACACAACCTAAAAGGAGATGGCACATCTTTTTAAAATTAATTACCTACCAAATGAAATTCTCACACAACTAAATTAGCAAAATAAAAGCAACTGCAAACAGCCAACATAGATTAGTCCAGTCATCCAACCCTAGCAAGCCCAAACTCAAATGACTGTTTGTCATGATTTCTTCTTTCAAGTGCCTGTTGAGAAGCACTGTAGTCCAAGTAATGGCAGGCTGTTACTAAAAAAAGAAAAAGAAAAACACCCCCCAAAAAACAGCACCACATGGCAGAGTGTTCCATGTTGCAGGTTTGCTCATGGACGACGACTCCTTTTTTTACAGGAAGAATGCTTTAAAAGCATATGGTATTGGATTTATACGTAGATTTGTGGTTAGAATTTGCTTAGTGTAGTTTGTAGGAACCCGTGAGTTCTGTTATTTCAGTTGTAGTGCTGATAGTTTTACATCTTTTATTTGAATAGAGCGAGCATTTAGGGTATTGGATAGTCTCTAATTAGGATAGCTAGAATCTTAGGTTCAACATATCAATAGCACTCAAAAGGGTTTTTTTTTTTGTAAAAAGGCTTTACTTGGAAAATGATACCATAAAAGGTAATGTTTTAACCTTGTTGTAACTCATAGAGATAATACTATACTTTGCCAGCCTCAAACTTGCAAAGACTGTTAAACATTCAATTAGTAATTATAACTTGGAGCACAGAAATACCCAACTTGGCTTTAAATAATACAGAAGTGCTCAAAAACAAACATTCATGGGTTAATGACGTCTGCTCCAGTCCACCATTATGGATAACTATACTCAAATTTATTGTTACCCTGGTGATTTCACTCTCCTACATGGCCAACTGTAGGCACCAGGGTTGCTTCCAGTAAAGCAAATTCAAATGAAGGGATCTCTTGAAAGGGATCTGTGACATTGCTTCTTGATAGAGGTCTCTGCTGAGTTTTCTTCGAGCAACAAGAAGTCCTGTTTTTCTTAGAAACTTTAAATATATCAAACCTTAGAATTTCAAACTAAAATGTAAGCCTGACAAGCTATCTTCAAAAATGCTTTAGCATCTACTTGCCAACCAGTTGGAGAATCCACTTTTTTTTTTTTTCTCCCACTGACCCGTGGTTGTCAGGTGGTAACTGATTCTGTCTCTTTGGAGCTTTAGCAGTTATCATTTTCACCGTGACAGGCAGCAACCCTCCTGACCATTTAGGAATATACATTTGTTCCTTGCAATTGGTGATTGCCTGTGGTTGCTAACTGGCCTTAGGCCTGTGCGACTGGAGCCTTACGTATATTACCATCTATGTGAGTTTATATTTTGAATAGGTGAAAATGTGCTATAAAAGACTTGTGTACATATTGAATGTTATTTAGCGTCAGTTTTTCTGGCTTGGTTGCTGATGATCAGGAATGACTAATGTTTTTTGATTGCACCTATATCAACAGCTCATACACAGAAAAATCTGAGAGTAGTACAAAGTTGATACTAAATGGTTGAGGTTGTAGAGTATTAAGTTTTTTGTTAATTAACATATAATTTCATTCTAAAAATCAAAGGATTTGAGCTTAGATGTATCTCTACAGAGTTTTCAGGCTGGAATATGTTATTGGGTTTTAGAGTCTCTGTACTTATCAGCCTTCAGACATAATTACCGGTTGTTCTAACATTATTAAAAAAGTAGTTTAGTGTACTGCGTTTTCATATTCAAGTTAGATTGTAGCATTTATTCAGTTTTATACCGTCATCCTACATTTTTATGCAAACCTGTCAAAATGGATGTGCACAATAAACTCTGCTATATCAGTACAATAAATGCTATCGTCACATAGGCGTGACTGCAAACCTTAGCAGATAACTAAAACAGTGTTTAAAGTTCATGTGACTTAGTCATGCTTTATTGATGCTGATGTCATGTATTTGTTCTTAAGGCTCTAAAAAAAAATCCTGAGTTAAATTGTAAATTGAAGCACTTTCAAATATGAAATACATGTTTTTGTTTTTTTTGTTTTTTTTAAAGCTGTACTTTATCCCTCCCTGGTCTTTTTTTCTCATGTTCCTACAGGATTTTGAAGACTGGGTGAAAGACACAGAAGAGCACGGCTTTGTAGTTGTGTCATTTGGAGCCGGTGTAAAGTACCTTTCCAGTGACATTGCTCACAAACTAGCAGGTGCCCTTGCCAGACTGCCCCAACGTGTCATCTGGAGGTAAAAAATCTACTTTCAATTTAAAAGATGTGAATAGAACTTTCTAAAACCTAAAATTAACAACAGTCTTCCACTAGGCATTTTTTTTCTTTTCTGTCTCTTCTTTTGGTTGTTTGTTGTGTTTTATGGAGAAACCTGCAGTGGTGGTAAAACGTCTATGCCCTCTTCCTGATTTTCTATGTTTCTGTATGTTTGTCTCACTTAAATGCTTCAGATTATCAACCAAATTTAAATATTAGACACAGATAACGCAAATTAACGTAGTTTCTAAATGAAGGTGTTATGATATAAATTAACTGCTGTGTATCACATGTTTGGAAAGCCACACCTGTTCTCGATCATCTCGAAATGATTTAAATAAAACCTGCCTGATAAAGTGGAGTAGACCAAAACATTCTCAAAGGTTAATTCAGGAACAAACGAGAAACAAAGTAATTGGGATCTCTCAGTCTGGAAAAGGTTATGAAGCCATTTCTAAAGCTGTGGGACTCCAGCAAACCCCAGTGAGAGCCATTATCCACAAACGGTGGAAACATGGAACAATGGTGAACCTTCTCAGGCCAACCAAGATTACAAGAACAGAGCAACGACTCATCTAAGAGGTCACAAAAGACCCCAGAACAACATCCAAAGAACTTTAGGCCTCACTTGCCTCTGTTAAGGTCAGTGGTCATTACTCCACCATAAGAAAGAGACATAACATTTTTTACTAGAGGTCATCTGGTAGATCAAATAAAATTGTGTCATGAATGCTGAAACTTGTTCGTGCCACAGTAAAGCTTGATCAGTTGACAGTGACTTTATAGTTTAAGTAGCTTTGCATTTTTATTTCTTTCTAAATTTAGTCACATCACAAGGATAAGTAATTCAGCCCAAGTACTGCTCTGATAAACCCACTTTTGCATATGTGAATGAGGTGCAGACAATATATGACCATGTGACACGACAGGTGCTACTTCACTTTTAGCCGCAGAACTGCATTTGCAGCATATTCAGTTCTGTATACTGCTTTCAGGATTAATTAATAACGAGAGGTGGTAGTTTAATATTACATTAAAACCACCCATCAACCTTTTAATCATTAACAGGTATATTTGAAAAGCTTGCCATTCATTTACCACATTGACCCACATTTTTATGGATATTTTAACTAAATATGGGATAAAGGATAACTATTTGGTTTAAGGATGTATACATTTTATCACATAATAATACTTTTTTTGGTAATGTGAATCCAGGAGCAAAGTACTGATTTGCAGTAGATACACTTAACATTATACTGATGGGTATATAATGCAGAACAGGCACCTGCATGTAGAGGGTTGGCAGCTAGTCTGTAGAGGCACACAGTTTCCAGTGATGTCATACAAGTGAACTGTTAACCTTCCATTATGTTTTCCTCTGTGTAAATACAGGTATGTCACTGCATGCTGTCTTTATTAGGTTTTAGGTCA